GGAAGCTGCCCCTACCCCTCGTGCCCCCTCTGCGGAAGCTACCCCTCGTGCCCCCACTGCGGATGCTGCCCCTACTCCCCCCTGTAACTGTAATGTTCACATAGGGGAGATAGATAGATGTCTATCTCCTCTAACAATTGACAAAACCATTTGCAAAATTGCAGGTACATTCGTTCTAAGTGAATGGAGGCAAAAACAAATGTTATTAGTGTATTTTAAATTCAGGTTGAATGTAATACAGGGTAATTACTGCATTGTGGCCACTAGATGGAACTGAGGAGCATAGAAAATAAGTATTTCCAATGCTCTTCAGCTCGATCTGGTGGCCATAATGCATTATTTTCCTGATATTTTTCTTTAAAGGGGATCTATGAGGTGAGTGATTTCCACTCATCATAGTTAGAGCAGACCTGTGACAAAGATGCGGTCACACGTCGGCTCTATAGATCGGGAAGTGAGCGAACACATACCGCCGCTCGCTCACGTCCTGATCATCTCCCTGCAGAGAGCCGTGACTGTCAGTCATCACCCCCTGCAGGGATTCCCTCCTCTCCGATTCGCGGGGTGGGCTCTGCCTCTAGATAGGCAGAGCCAGTTGTCACTCATGCAGCTGAGTGGATCCAGACGGTATTGTCGGGATCCGTCCCGGCTGTGGCACTCTGCGTATGTAGCAGACAATAGCCCGCTATATAATGAGCCTTGGGTCACCGGAGGAGGTTAGTATATGTCCTCCTATGACCCCAAAGAACTACGGGATGAAAAGGTTACCCCATAGTTCTCTTTTAAGGGTTATGGGGGAGGATGCCTTCTATGTGAAACTATTTCAGCTATGACCAGTCTGCAACATGTTAAACATTCATTGAACCCTAAAGATGGCAGCTGTCTGTTCCTATGTCCTGGGAGCTTGGAGTTCTCACCAGACACAGTACAAATGTTCCTATTACGTGTCCTTGCATTCAGCTTTGCCTTTGGGAGTCCTTCAAACAGGGATTGGCAAGTTCCATTCATCAATAGCAAGGGGTGCAGGTGGAGAGGTAAACGTGATCCCTATAACATTTCATTGGTGTTCAGTGTCTGGTTTGGGAATATATTAGCACCGAGAAGCAATTTTTCCACATACGCGAGGAGGTTTTAGGCCCAAATGGTACAAAATATCTAACATTCATTTCCTCAGCAGAGCTCGTCTGTAGCATGCTTTCCTCCTCTCACGGCTCTTCTGTTTCTAGGTGAATTTTACGTGACATCATGGTTCTCCAGCATCTCTTCCGCTTGTCCTCCATCTTCCGCTCTACAGTCTCTGTTCATCTACGAAGAAATATTGGACTGACGGCCATAGCTTTCAACAAGGCTAAGGAACTGGACCCCATTCAGAAACTCTTTGTGGATAAGATCAGGGATTATAGGGCAAAGAGCCAGTAAGTTCTGTCCCAGGGATTCAGTGAATGTTTGCCACCATTATTTCTCTTGAAAATGTACTCATTGCTGTAATTGCTAATAGGGACCATAATCCTTGTGCCAGTCTACACCAAGAGAATGGAGCTGCTCCCACTCCCAAGGAGTATTATGTTCCATTTTCTATGCCATGTGCAAGAGACGGCATTGACAGCTGACCACCCCCTACAGCTGAGAGCAGGTGAAAGGCTTTTGCCCTGTGTTTGCTGGGGCTAACAGTAGACATGCACCAAAATAAAAATTTTAAAACCGAACCGAAATAAAAAAAATTGTCACGCCGAAACCGAAAATGTTTTTGTTAATATTTTCATTTTTTTTTTTTAAATAAACTTAATTTTTTTCATTTTTTTTATTAAATATTTTTATTTTTTACTTTACTTTTAGGGGCTTCAGGGAAATATTCGGGGTCTAAATATACCCCTGATATTTCCCTTTTTAACACAGAAAAAGAGATTGAGAACACAGAGTCCTTCATCTCTTTTTCTGTGTCCTCTGTTGTCAATGAACAGGAATCCTCTGAGTGTTAATTCATAGAGGATGTAGATCACTCCCATTCATTCATAATTGAGGATATAGTTAACATACCATGTCCCCAATTATCTATAAACGTGTTCTCCTCTCTGACACGCTGTCACAGGAGGCTGAGCGAGCGGTGTAGGGAGGAGAGCCCAGCCTCCTGCGACAGCGCTGGCTGTCTCCGCCCACTCACTGCTCTGCCGGACTGTGATAGGAGTCTGAGCGGTTTGGGAGGAGAGACACCGGCCGCTCACAGCACTCTCCTCCCGCAACGCTCGGCCGGCTGTCACTTTCTCTCCTCCCCGCACAGAGCAGCGCCCAGCGGGGAGGAGAGAAACCTGGGATGTGCCCATGTATCAGCAGGAAAATTGCACTTTCGGCTGATCTATCGGTGCATCCCTAGTTAATAGCCAGACATACAGAGAGGGAAAGAAGCTTTTCCAAAATACTTACCTGCAGTCTCTCACCTGAGCCCTTCATTGTGTCTTGTAGAAAGAAGTCCCAGCCATGCTCAGCTACTAGGAATGAATGGGCTGAGTGGTGCACATTCACAGTAGTAGCTGGGTGCAGCCGGTACTTCTTTCTGCAAAGGTTGTGTGATGCTGGTAAGGGTCACACACTGAACATCTCAGGAGTGAGGATGAAGGTAAATATTTTGTTGGATGGCTGCCATTTGGGGGATGGGGGGAAATAAATCGCTGAAAATAGAGTCGTCTTTTAAATCGCCTTGCGCTCAGTAAGTGAATACGTCGTGTAAAATTAGTTTGTTGGTTTATCTCGGAATTTCCCAGCCTATTTTTCAGTATGCAAAATCTCGAGGCACCCCAGTATAAAATGTACTAATGGACCCTAATGCTAGATAGGCATCTGTTATAGATTTTAAGGGGGAACACCACGCAAAACACAAAAAACATGTGGTTCTCTCTTCACATCAGAGTCCCCCTATCAAATTAGGAGCCTCCCTCACGTCAGAATCCTTACTTTCACATCAGAATCCCCCTATACATTAGGGGCCTCCTTCACATCAGAGTCCTCAAGAGGCCTCTTCACATCAGGGGCCCCTTAGGGGAAAGTCTTTAGCCCGGTGTAAGCTCTGAAACATGGTCATTTTGCAGGGGCTCCGGTGTGGTGCAGGAAAGGTTTGTGCTGCTTACCTTTTTATTGCCCTAATATAAACCTTTTATACTTGGCCCTGAACTCTCTGCATTGTATGAGACTACAGGGTGCCATGGTGATGCCCTTCAGGGACCGGTCCATGACGCCCTGCACTTACAGGATGCCCTCAGCCTTTCGGGTTGAATGTCACTGGGTAAGGACTATTTAAAAGAAGGGGGAAAAAAAAAACCGACACTTATAATTGGGCTTTAAGGAGTGATGATCTTTGCCAACTGACTTTTACAGTCAAAATACCTTTATAAAAGTCAATAAAACAATGTGCATTCAGTAAATGTGTATAGTCTGTGAGGTAACGACTTCAGTAAATTGAAAAAAATCTAATGTTTTAATTTTTACTGTGAAGTGGATTCCTTATCAACATAAGCCTCTTATTTGCATTGCATGCTGGGTGTGATCAGGGAAAGAATAGAGACAGAGACGTTGGCTTTCAAGCAGAGCAGTTCAGTACCGGGTTCTTGTCCTCCTCGTGGTTCATGTGTGCGTGCATTCTGTAGAAAGGCTTCCTGTCCTGGTTTATCCAGACCTAGCCTAGGGGTGCTTCCCCAAATGACGCAGATACTCTAAGTGCCTATGAACTGGTCTATAAGTCCTTCCCCTTCTAGGTTCATACAGGCTTCAGCTTGTAAACACTTATGTGTACAGCACGCATTTACAGTGCGTTTGCAATGCTTTCATCCAGCTTGGAGCAGCCACCTGATAGCCTTTAGCTTTGGTTTGAGGATATTAACGCACATCTTAGACCATTAACTATAATTGTCAGGGATTGGCGGATCGCTGTGGCCGTACCTGGACAGTCGCAGTATAACTTGTGCAGTAAGACAGTGCAAAGTGCAGTGATCTTTATCGTCCAGGACTGAGCTCTGACTGATTATATTCTCAGTGGTCAGGGTAGGTCACTATACGTTCATTTTCTTGCCCTTATTGTAGATGTGTCTGGAGATCCAGCTTGTAAGGTGCGATTTGTATTTGATTAATATACAGACAGTATAAATGTTTGAGTTAATCAAATTCGTAACATGTCTCGTTAAAGAGCAAGTGGTGCTGCAGTTGATGCTGGCCCCGAATACCAGAAGGACCTTACCGAAGACATCGGCAAACTACAGCGGTTATATGGCGGAGGAGACTTGGAGAAGTTCCCAGAATTCAGGTTTGAAGGTTAGTAACATGTGTGCCGTCATTCTTTGTAGACTGTTTTATTGACCCCTATGGGAGTGCGGGGGGTACAACATTGACTTCCTACAACAAGATTAGTCTCTTCAATGACTGTCTTCTCTAGCAGGCTAACCCTACTCCTGGTTTTCCCAATGGGTCATTTTCCCTTCTGGTATTCTCCAATGACTCCTTGACCTTAGAGGTGATCCTACCCGTCTGATTGAAGAAATGTGCTCCAATCCCAGCCCTCATTATTCGCTGCTAGATTGTAAGCTCTCATGAGCAGGGCCCTCCTAACCCTCCTGTATTGTAACTGTACTGTGTCCCTCCATTTTGTAAACTCTTGCTGCTATATAAATCCTGTATACTAATGACGGGTCACGTTACCCAGAACTTGTGTGGGAAATAGGTCCTGGCATTGCAGACCTTTCCATCTGATAATGCTAATTGCTTGCCTATCATGTTGCCTTTATTACTTTGATTCACTGACCCAGAGCCAGTGTAGATAAGGGCTTCTGACTTTTCTTTGACTTTTCTGATCTGCATACTTGTTCCAGGTCTATAGTTTATTCCATAGATTTAGTGCCAGGGTAGCCAAACTCCGCCCTCCAGCTGTGGTAAAACTACAAATCCCATGATGCATTTCTCTCCAGGAGTCGTGGCTGGGAGAATCTTGCAATGCCTCATGGGATTTGTAGTTCCGCCACAGCTGGAGTATGGATAGCCCTGATTTAGAGGGTCCACAGGACAGCCAGCCAACTAGCATTTCCAGGTCAGTCCACCATGACGGGTGTCGTTTGAGCATAATATACTTCAATTTCTGATTAGTGTTGAGAATCCTCTAGAATTAACTTTACCATCATTGGTAGAAATTATTATGGTCAGATTTCATCTACTTAAAGTAAAAGAATTATTACAAATTGTTCAATTTTATTTATTTTTTCTCTTTCAGAACCAAAACTTGACGAAGTTCCTAAGTAAAATTTCCTTAACTCGGAATTCGGATGTCACCTGTCTCATGTGTTCCTAGTAAATTAATAAACCACTTTGGTGAAGACTTTCAGTGTCTGCTTCCTTTTGTGGGTTTGTTATCGGTTTTCTTTGATGTTATTTTATGGAGTTTATAGAAAATGAGTCTCCAGCTTGGAGAACACCTAATTTGTCACACATAATTCATTGCAAATGCTGCCACTTCCACAGCTGCTTCGTTGCATTAACCATTGTGACGAACTAGGAGTGCAGAGGGGGCACACAGGTGAATCCCACAGGGTCTGTATACGGGGATTTTATTGGGGAACTCTGGCATATAAAGCAAAGTCTGGATAGTGAAGCCAGAAGGTAGGCAATGGGGTACAGGAAAGAGTAAGTCCAGAGTCGCAGTGGTAGTAATCCAGGATTCAGAGGTGCAGTAAGAGTTAATCTAGCGGGAATACCAAGGCACAATACGGGTAAGTCCAGTAAGGGTGGAACAACAAGTCTGAGCAGACGGCAGGGAGGTGAAACATTCCAGCAGCACACAGTGGGGGGAGAACAAGCAGACCTCAGCAGTACACGGCGGGGAAGGACAACAGATTCCAGCAGCACACAGTGGGGGGAGAACAAGTCTCTCCTGACCCCAACAGCCTACGACAGGGAGGGACTATGAATCCCAGCAGACCTCACAGCAGTAGTGGAGCAGAAAAGTCGGAGTTAAGTTTCTATTCCTTTGAATCCACAGACAGAGCCTGGCCTCAGCGCAGCCTTTGGTCCGCCAGTCCGAGAGGAGAGCATCGGCTTAACCCACCCACAGACCTTACAATAGGCACAGGGGTGTGTACAGGCTGTTGCTGAGCAACTAGCCTCACCTCCCATGTGTCTTTTGCTCTGAGGAGGCTGCTTTGGCGGGAATTCAGAGATGTGTACTGGGGCATGGGCAGTTTATCTCAGGGGCCCAAGTGTCCAGACCCCCGCTGTCAAGGCTTTTGTGATCTGCTGGCTGTAAAAGCCAGGGAGAACACTGCGGGTCTACTGATTGTACAGCCCAGAAGATTTGCACATGACCCCTTTAATCTGCTGGCTCTGTGTCAGAGATCAACACTAGGCTGCTGTAGCTGGGGGAGGCTGGCAGCCAGGAAGGGGGAACCCACAAGGAGCTGTGGAGGATTGGGGAGCAGAGAAAGGGGTTTAGGGCTGCAAGAAGCCCCCTTCTCCACAACCATGTATGACATGTCTGGTGGACAGGATGCCTACAGTACTCGGTGAGTGTGGGGCATCTTCAGAACCTGTACACCTTCCATCTTTCAGCTGGGGCTGCCAGAGAGAACTGTTAGAGGTTGCAAAGCCAAGTTTGTTTTCCTTGCGGAAGCAAAACAAACTTTGTTACAATGAATCAGCCTCTAGTAAAAGCTCTCCTCTTACAAAGCTCAGCTGAACTTTGCCTATATTAGCACATTCCAGGTACAACAAAACAAAAGGCTTGCAAAGTCTTAAGGTGGCCACACACTTTACCACCCTCGCAAGACTTTTGTCTTGCAAGGGTGGTAAAGTAATTTTAAAAAACGTACGATCTGCCCATCTTGGACATACAGATCGTATGGGGGGCGGGCTTCCGATGACTGCAATGGGATGAATCATACGATCGCGGGATTTCCCGCGATTCTCGTACAATAATCGCGCAGTGTATGGGCACTTATGAGTTCGTTTTCGTAAGAGTAAAAATACCTGTCAACTGCCAACATGCTAAAGAAAAGGACACTTGCTCAATGTGTGAAAGCAGTAGTCTCACTACAGAGATAAAGTATACATGTAAGGAAAGACACACACACTCCTCATGTGTTGGAAGCAGAAAAACATGGACAAGTGTAAGGATTTGAGTGATGACGAGGGCCAAATTGTGATGGCTAGAGGACTGGGTCAGAGCAACTCCAAAACTGCAGCTCTTGTGGGATGTTCCTGGCCTGCAGTGCTCAGGACCGACCAAAAATAGGTCCAAGGAAGGAAAAACGGTGACCCAGCGACAGGGTCATGGGTGGCCAAGGCTCACTGATGCATGGGGAGTGAAGACTGGCCTGCGTAGTCTAATTCAATAGAACAGCTACTGTAGCTCACATTGCTGAAAAAGTTAATGCTGGTTCCAATAGAAAGGTGTGTAGCTGCTGACCCATGTCCACTGCCAAAAGCGCCTCCATTGGCCAATGAGCATTAAAACTGGACCCTGTAGCAATAGAAGTAGGTGGCCTGGTCTGATGAATCATGCTTTCTTTTACATCATGTGGATGTCCAGGTGTGTGTGTTGCTTACCTGGGTAAGAGATGGCATGAGAATGCACTATGGGTAGAAGGGAAGCTGGCGGAGGCAGTGTGATACTTTGGCCAATGTTCTGTTGGGACACCTTGAGTCCTACCTTTCATGTAGATGTTACTTTGACGCATACCACCTACCTAAACATTGCTGCTGACCAAGTACAACTCTTCACAGAAACTATTTCCTGACAGCAGAGGTCTCTTTCAGTAGGATAATGTGCCCTACAACACTGCAAGAATGGGGGTGAGGAACACAACAACGAATTTGAGATGCTGACTTGGCCACCAAATTCTCCAGATCTCAGTCCAATTGAGCTTTTGTGGGAAGTGCTGGAAAAACAAGTCCGATTCATAGAGGCCGCACCTCACAACTTACAGGACTGAGGGCCTGTTCACACAATATGCAGTCTGTTTATTTTAACTGCTGCAGTCACAATACATCCTAATGCTTTCCTATGGGCTTTCTTGTGCCTAATTCACACCATTGCAGTCCGTTCAGATGCAGTCAGAAAAAGTACTGCTTGTCCTATTTTACCTGCATCTAACTGCACTAAACGCATCAAAACAGTGCAAACGCATCAAAACGCAATAGAACGCATACAAAAAAACGATTGTGGCATCATGCAGGGGGAAAAAAACGCATTACAAACGCAACAAAACGGATCGCAATGCAACTGCGCAGACGCACACAGTTGTGATGCAGTTTCTGGTGTGAACTAACCCTTAAAGGATGCCAAATACCACAGCATACCACCAGAGATCTAGTGGAGTCCATGTCTCAACGGGTCAGGGCTTTTTTGGCGGCAAAAGTTGGACCTCCTCAATATTAGGTAGGTAGTCATATTATGGCTGATCAGTGTATAACGTCTGTTGATTATCTTAGCGCATGTTTATATGGAAATAACATGATCACCAAGGTTAATGGCCAGAAATACAAGCAATGTTACGGATAGCTTTGGTCTTTCCACCCAAGCTGAGCAGCTCTGTGGCCCAGATTCATAGCCTCTATGCCAGACATACAATTGAGTCACAGGATGGAGCCTTACACCATGATTGGCAAGTTAAAATGCCTCAGGCACTGGGCAGCTGTGATGGAGAAATGTTCACATCTCACCATGTCAAACGAAGGCGAAGAACTGATGACAGGTACACATGGTTGGCATAGATTAAAAGTTTGCAATATATAACTCCGCCATAATTAGGCAGACAGATCTGTATATTTTATATTGTCCAGCTGAACACCAGATCGGAATAGCTCGGTACATTATAAATAACCATCTTAAATATGTTACGGTATTGACAGCGCACGAGCTGTAATATGGAATGCAAGTAAATTAAATTTGGCACTAGAATTCCCCATCACAGATATTCCGAGAGTTAGAGACGATACAATGCTGATGTTACACATAGCGGACTATACTTATCACGAATGCTTTCACTCGCCTCTTCCCAGAAATTCATCAAGCTATATAAGATGATCCCTCTGATATGGCTAACTGTGTATTTCTGGAGGAGATGGCAAGCCAGGAATTGCTAAGTAATCTGATAGTCCTGATAAAAAATTAAAAAAGGTGTGTTTGAGCGGGAATTGCTATTCAATGCTGGGACTTGTAGTTACGGCACCGGTGAAGAACTACAGTGCTGAAAGGATGAGTCGTACTGATGCTTTCATAGTCTTGAAGTGTATGTAAACCGTGACAATGAACATCTCTCATTTGCTTCCTTACGGTCTGCTAAGTAAAACATTGAAAGCCTTTTGTGATATGTTTTCTATAACCCCAAAAATGACCTGTTGATCCTGCCAGGAATTCAGTGAGCGGATAACCTCCTGTGATTTCTGCCGCTACTGACTGTCAGCATTACACACATATGCTTATAGGAAGAACTTTGTTGAAAAGAATGGCCGGTGTTCTATCAAAGTTTGTGACTGCGTTAGAATGACGTGGTCACACATTTTAACCTAATCCCGCCCAGTTTTTCGGTGGTGGGATGTGTGACCGGTCACGTGGTCACACATTTTAATGTAATCATGCCTACTTTTTCTGCTATAAAATATGTGACCGGCAAAAGGTGAAGAATTCCAGCTGTTCCAGGGCAGATAGGCATCGCAGATCCTATGAGCAGCAGAACCGATCTGCCCTGGAACAGCTGATCGGTCCTCAAATGTCACTTTGTGACTGCGATCTCACATTCCACAAAGTCAGATAGAAGCGACATTTCAGGACCGATCAGCTGTTCCAGGGCAGATCGGTTCTCCTGCGCATGCAATCTGCAATGCCGATCTGAACAGCTGAGAAAGCGTTGGAATTCTTCACATTTTGCCGGTCACATATTTTACCTCAGTGATTACGTTAAAATTTGTAACCACCTGACCGGTCACGCATTCCAACCCAGTCACAATCTTTGATAGAACCATGGGCAACACAGTCTCTTTAACTGAGCATCAGTTCCCGGCAGTCACTTGTCCACTGAATGTAAGCCTCCTGCTGGGGTTTGTAAATGAGGACTTACCTTTGGTGGGGGATGAGCTAAGACAATTTTAACTTGAAGAGAATATTAGAGGGGGACAATATTGTTCTTCTCATCTTTGATGTCGTTTAGAAAATGTAATTCTGAATACTGGCTGGTTGTTTTCATTAGAATTTAGCATTTAAGTATCAGTTTTATGGTCCTACCCGAACGGCAGCCATACACAGACTATGTGATCGGCACAGGGACAGACTAGGTCTGGGTATTGTAGGAGGCAAGTATGCATCTCAGCACACTCTAGCTTTTATTACCAGCACTCAGCAGGATGTGTTTAAATAAAAGTGGACCTTGCATGACAATACAAGAACAGCTTATCCTGCAGCCTCCCATTCCAACCCATGTATATCAAATGTGCTATTAAAAAAAATATATATATATATCAAAAAATATATGTCAAATGCTTTTTTAAGCTACAATATATTGCCAAAAGTATTGGGACACCACTCCAAATCATTAGATTCAGGTGTTCCAATCACGTGTCTGGGTTTGGCGGTTGCCAGGAGAACGGTCCTTGCCTGACTGCATTGTGCCAGGTGTAAAGTTTGGTGGAGGGGGGATTATGGGGTGGGGTTGTTTTTCAGGGGTTGGGCTTGGCCCCTTAGTTCCAGTGAAGGGAACTCTTAAGGCATCAGAATACCAAGGCATATTGGACAATTTCATGGTCACAACTTTGTGGGAACAGTTTGGGGATGTCCCTTCCTGTTCCAATATGACTGCGCACCAAGGCACAAAGCAAGGTCCATAAAGACATGGGTGAGTGAGTTTGGGGTGGAGGAACTTGACTGGCCTGCACAGAGTCCTGACCTCAACCCGATAGAACACCTTTGGGATGAATTAAAGCGGAGACTGCAAGCCAGGCCATCTCATCCAACATCAGTATCTGACCTCACAAATGCGCTTCTGGAAGAATGGTCAAACATTCCCATAGACACACTCCTAAACCTTGTGGACGCCTTCCCAGAAGAGATGAAGCTGTTATAGCAGCAAAGGGCCGGACAACTCAATATTGAACCCTACGGACTAAGACTGGGATGCCATTATGTGCGTGTAAAGGCAGGCGTCCCAATACTTTTGGCAATATCGTGTATTTCAAATGCTGATTGAATCACTTGCTATGGATGCAGCTCCTTGATGCACTGGCCCTAATATCCTGTTTTAGGGTGGCTCCTTTCCTTGCAGAGTCCTAAGGCACCACCCTTGTATGTGTTAGAAAGCTGTGTGTGTCAATACAAGACACAGGCATGGCATTGTTGCTCCTCCTCCCTTCTTCCTTCTCCAAGATAGTAGATGGACAGCTGCTGGAGACTGCTTGTGGAGACTGACCTTGTACTGGACAGGAAGTTCAGGGAAGCAGAGCAGAGAGATTTGGAGCTGTTTGGAAATGTGATGACTGTAAATGCTTGGGCAAAAAAATGTAAAGAAATATTTTGCTGGGCAATGTACTTTATATTTGTCTGATCTGGATTTAATAATGATCATAAAGGTTTGAGAGTTGAATACAACCTTAACTTACACTCAGGCTGCTTGTAGGTGGATGTCACTGAACCTTCTTGAGGGTTTCTGTGAAAGCTGAAGATCCCAAATGTCACAAGAACACCACGTTCCAGCATTGTGCAGGAGTAAAATATTTTGGGATCCTCCTCTTTCTTTTTTTGCATTCACAGTATTTATTTAGGGGTTGCGAGACTGAAAGTGACGCAGTGTTGCGTTTTCATGCAAACTCCGCTTTAAAGTGTATTTCAAGCCAAAACCTTTTTTTTCTAGTGAAGCTGGTTATATACTAGGGGCTGAAAGAGAGAAATCTAACAAAGTCTAACATTAAAGCTAAACAGTGTGAATGGAGGAATCTCACGTTGCAGCTATTGTATTTTGACAGTCGGCCCCACCACCTGCCAAAATACCTGAACAGTAACTGCCTCTGATTTGAAGGCATTGTTCCGCTGGCACTTTTGTACCCGGCTCCTTCAGTTTTTCAATCGAAGGATGTTGGGTGAGAGTTGGCAGACAGGGCCACCCACTGAGCATAGCCACCTTTTTATCCAACAGGTAATTTTGCTGCACTTATTATGGTCACTAGATCTATCAAAGCAATGTAAACAATGAACAAAAACCAGAAACAAAATAATAAAAAAAAACACACTTTATTTATTTATACTGTATTCTACATCAGATTAAAATCTTACAACAACAAAAAGTGCTAAGCAACTAATACCTTCATCTTATGGGCATGCAGAATAACAGCTGAATATGCCGGCACCGCCATAGCGCCATAGTGCAATTCCTTTCAGAAGCAATCGTGTTATCAGCTCATTCACAGGCCTGGGGATATATTTCTACAAACACTGTATATATATATATATTTACTCAGTAGAAAAGAAAATGTATACATTCTCGCCTGTGAAATTTAAATTAAGGCACATGTACTCATCTACAACAAAAATAAATCTAAATATCTGACAAAAATACTTTCAGTACTTTGTTTAAGTACGTAGGGTATTCGGTCTCAACAAGGACAGGAAGGAAATGATTTTGTGGGTGGGCGTCCATCTTCTATAGCGGTCACATGAGAAACTCTAAAAGGGACTTCTTCTGGAGCTGCGCTGCTATGGTCAATGTTAAGTTTAAACATTCCAGGTGCATCAAAACAAATGCGGTCAAAGTTTCACTGTTTACTTTCTGTAGAAAGCAGCGAGTAGAAAAGCCTATCCCCTGCCAGCCCGCTATAGAGAAGGACCTTTGCTGCGTGGTCCCCCTGTAGAGGTCTGATTCCATCCTTGTCGAGCCAGAGATCTCCAATCAGCAAGGAACATATACTTTGCCAATTGCAGAACTATAGATCTATAGCATGCTGGAAGGGGATAGGTTTTTCTACTCAGGATGTCGCTGCGTTCTACAGAAAATAGACTTTTTTTGATGCACCCGAAATGTATTTTGCTGATTTAAGCTGAAAGTTCATTTGGGTTTCTGCTGCTGGGGTCAACGTCCTTAGGCCACTTTGGACCTTCTCTTTAGCAGCTACACCCATAACAGCTGAATAGAGGCCATAGTTTCCCTAATTAGCATAAGCCCACCATAAGGTTTTCCTGCTATCGCATTGAAGGTATAGAATACCTTTAAGAGGGACTCATTTTCATCTCTTTACATAAATAAAAAAGTAAAGACCATGGTTTGGGCATGTATGTATTACAGGCTCAGATATGTTGGTTTACCCTAAATAAGTGTGACCCAGCCAAAGTGAGAGACTTCCTTTCTCATGGGGTCATCGCCCCCATTGATTGATCGCCCAACATGAGGCATAGTGTTCCACTAGTTCCTGTTGCCAACTACATACTTCCTGTTCCAAACACCCATCCCCTCATCACTATAACTGAACCTACCCTTTGAAATATTGATTTGGGCCTTGTATTATTTCTCCAGAAACTACAGAAGAAGGAGACATCTAGGAGTAGAAAGTGAGAGGCAAGAACCTTCTCATCTCATGGTAGAAAGAGTTTGGTTACTCAAAGCAGCGATCCTTTCCATCCTCCAACTTTCTTTTTGTTCTGTTACAGCTCCCTTGTTTTAGGTTGCATTTGGTGAACATTTTTATAACAATGCTTTCCATCCAGAAGTTAGAATACTAAAGGACTAGCTTCAGTACAAGGCCTCCTAAACTGCCTGCCCTACTAATATCTCTCCTTGTGTTAGGTGACACATATGATTGAGATTCTCTTCTATATTAGGCTAAGCATTGAGCTCTGAATTTCTCTCTATACACGTGAGCTCTGTCTATGAAGTATGTATAGGAAACTACTAGAACACTGCACGGTAATTTATAGCAGGGAAGAGTCTGAAGCTGCAGGGTGGCCTTCTTGTCACAGTAGCAAAAGACTCAATGACGATCGCTGTCCCCATGCTGATTTGGCCGTTCACATTAAAGCACAAATGGTTTCCTCTTCTGAACATGGTAATTTACATTTTCTGTAAAAATAGATATTCTTTTCAAGTCCGTCTTATTGACAATGGAGCATGCCATTCAAGAAACATCGCGGTCAAAATGGCTGCCTTTACAAAGTGGCCCCTCATATGACAAAGGACTTGGTGTGCTTGAAATCCTGTGGAGAAGGAAAGCAAATTATGCATTTAAAATGACAATTTCTTGGAATATAGAAACACCTAATTATAATTAATAATTGAGCGTCATCACAACTGCACAGCTCATATATTTGTTTTATTACAAGTTGGCATTTTTAATATTAAAGAACTCTAAACTCTGCAGTACTTACATTTTCCTTTTGTGATGCTGACATGTGAGAACCTTCTTTCCTGCTGAAGAAGACAAGAAAAATACATTTACTGAAGAGACATTATTTGTGAAGGCAAACAGTTCTGTGGGCTGGACAATTTGTCTTCCAATATCTGGCAATCAGTGTCTTTCTTAGCTGGAGGTCATTGGAGCCTAGATACTCGGGCCAAACACCGTAGCGTCTTCATGCCTCACTTATCCTAATTTACACACAAACATTTTTATATATTTTTAAAGACATATAGGGTTTTTTTTTTAATGCACAAACAATACAATACAATCTATGTATAGACACTGCCTGGCCAAATAAATTCACATGCTCTAATATTTAGTTTGACTGCCTTTAGCTTTGATTACGGCACACATCTACCTTGGCATCGTTTCGATAACCTTATGCAATGTCACAATATCTATTTCCATCCAGAGTTGCATTAATTTTTCATCAAGATCTTGTAGTGATGACGAGAGAGTCGGACTACTGTGTAAAGTCTTCTTCAGCACATCTCGGAGAGTCTCAATGGGGTTAAGGTCTGGACTCCATGGTGGCCAATCCATGTGTGAAAATGATGTCTCATGCTCCCTCAACCACTCATTCACAATCTGAGCACAATGAATCCTGACATTGACATCTTGGAATATGCTCAATGTGCCAGAAAAAAATCAATTGATGGCAAAACCTGGTCATTCAGTATATTGAGGAAGGCAGCTGACCTCATATTTTGGGGACATAACATTTCTGAACCTAGACCTATTATCCAATGGAAGGCTCTGACCTATTTGCTCAGCTAAATCCAGGTGGTGACTTTTGTTTCGCCAGGCAGTGTATTATAGCAAACCTCCCAACCTTTTGAGATAGGTGAGAGGGACAACTTCAAAGATAACTTCTGGCACAAGTATTATTAGTGTTAAAGCAGCTGAAGAATCTGTTGCCTCAAAAGCTACCTTTCTTCTACATCCCCCAAAATCTAGTAGTTCAGGTGATCCTGCTGACCACCAGAGATTTCCCTCTCTTTGGATGGATTTCCCCTCACTTCCTGTTGTGGCTATCAGACTGAACGTGAAAGGAAATCATCACACAGTTGGCAAGAGTACAGGTGACCCTTCCATACCAAAAAACTAATTTGGCTCCAGTTCTACTTTAGGCACAACATAGTTTGGCAATAGGTACACCCCTGATCACACATATCATAACAAATTCAAGTACAAGAATGGTCACTTGAACCCATAGGGGCTTTTCACATCAACTTTCTTTTAATATTATTTAAAGAACTATGGGGTCAGTGTTTTTCCCCATAGTTCTCCTTAGGGTAACGGGAGGACACAAACTAGCGTCCTCCCGTTACCCTAAGCTCAGTATACCGCGAGCTACAGCTTGCGGTATACTGAGACGCCGCAGCCGGAGCGGATCCCGACGTAGATGACGGGATCCGCCCAGCTGCGTGAGTGACAGCTGGCTCTGCCTATCTAGAGGCAGAGCCAGCTGTACCCGCCCCCTCCCCCGTCCGTTCCGCCAGTCAGCGCTGGCAGATCGGAGCGGGGAGAGGGGAATCCAGACCCTCCCCCTGTCACGGCAGAGAGCTGTGACAGGATCGAGAGGTGAGCGAACCTGGTATGTGTTCGCTCACCTCCCGATCTACTGAGCCGACCTGTGACAGTCTCATTGTCACAGGTCGGCTAGAACTATGAGGTGAGTGAAAATCACTCATCTCATAGTTCTCCTTTAAAAATCACCAGTACAATAATCTAAAGAATGGAAGAAAGCTCAATGCAATGTAAACAATGTTTGTAGTTAAATTGTACATTTATTTATTTGGGGTTCTCCACAGGAGTAAAAAGGGACTATTTAGGATGAATGAGGGACTTGGTTCCAAGAGAGGAACAGTCCCTCCAAATGAAGGGCGGTTGGGAGCTATGACGATAGGCTGGCACATGTGTAAAAAACGTTAAAAAAAATACTTACTCAGAGGATTTCCCACCTGAAAGAAAACAAAAAGGAGGAAAAAAATAATGTTACAATTTGTACTTATATAACATGTTCTAATATAAAACTATTTACATTCATATAAGATATATACACATGGAGGGACTGCTATTTAAATGATGTATTTTACATTTTAAGTTGCTGTGAGCATGTGTTTTTTTTAAGAAGGCAGAATGTTAACAGTCTCTGTGTGACCCACATGCCAACTGCCATTCTACCTCAGCTGGAAGATACACAGAATCAAGTAACGGTGCAGTTATAAACTGTCCTTATGGTGACTTTAGATGCAAAATGAAAATTAAAAAAGCTTTTTATTGTGCCTTCAAATTTCTAAATGCATTTATTTTACTTATTTAAATACCGATGCCTTATTCCCCACTGCTTTCCAGAGAGCAGCAAACCACCACTGGTAGCAAAGGTTTAGTTCCCACTAGGGATCCTATCTGCATGGAGTTTGTGAGTTCTTGCCCTGTCTGGCCTCCTCCCACAACATTACAGACTTGTAACATAACAACATAACATACTGGTAGGTAAGCTACCAAACTGTCCCTAGCAGGGGCACCTGTATGACTACTGGTAGTGATTAGAGTTTAAGCTCTTTTGGTGGCAATACCCAGTGTGGAAGATGAAGGTACTCTAGAAATTGCTGTAGAATGTGGTGGCATTAAATAGTTTCTTATTAGGCCAACTTTTACCTTTGCTTTTAATCTGTTAGTGTAGTGCAGGTGAGGGTCGGTGTAAAGTCGCATGCAGCCGCGTCCTCCCATATGGATATACAGGTGGCTACATGCAACTACACGTTGCACCTGTCCCTCCTGGAAGCAGGTGTCTGCAGGGGCGTGCACGCCCGGGTGAATGGGCCCTAATAAAAACCAGAACAGAGGTTCTAACACATCCACACTTCCCTATATCCAAAAGGAAAGTTTCTGCTTTGGATACAAACTCTGCTTTTAATATGGCCGAAGGGTGCTGTTCCCCCTTGTGACCAGCAGGTGGGGCACTTCACTAAGTTATCATGCTCCTGCAGAGAAGTCTTGCTGCCAGTAAAAGCATTTCCTATTAATGACACAAATAAAACTTGAGAGTTCCTGTGCAAAGAGTTCCAACACTTGTTGCGTAACAACAAAAAGTACAATATAAATAAACACCGGCAGCCGCAGTTTATGTTATTAACGGCCTGATAAGTATACATGTGATGTCACACCATCTCTTCTAGGTACATTTCACAATCATGGGGACATTCCTGATATCCTTCTTCTATATACATCACAGGCACCTATGTGATGGAGAATCATTGTCATAACATGAAAGGAACGGCTTCAAGAGGGCACAACTCCATCCCCGCTGTTTTAATTATTTAAGTGCAGGGGAGTGTGTTTGGTTTTTTTTTTTTTTTGCTGCCCCTGTCCCTACTGGGGAGATTTCCACCTATTTCCTCTATGGTGACACCCTGTGCATTGCTGTAAGCTGAATATTATGTTATTTTAACCATTTCGCTGCCAGATATGTTTTTTGTACACGTTATTACATACATTTGAGGCCTGAAAATAACTTAAACCCCCCGAGAGTAATATATTTCCAGCAAGCACAGACCCTGCAGAATAAATTGGCAATTGCAAATTTTTACTTCGGATGATATTAGCACAACTCTTTATGAAACCCAAAATTTAAGTCAAAATCACACTTAAAGGAGAGCTATGAGGTGAGTGATTTCCACTCATTTTCAAAGTTAGAGCCGACCTGTGACCAAGAAGCTGTCACAGGTCATCTCTGTAGATCGGGAAGTGAGCAGAAACATGACGCCGATCCGCACACTTTCCGATCGTCTCCCTGCAGTGAGCTGTGACTGTCAGTCATTGCTCCCCGCAGGCATTCCCCCCTCCAATCCTCCAGCGCTGAATGGAGGAACGAACAAATGGGAAAGGGGGCGGGCACAGCTGGCTCTGCATCTAGATAGGCAGAGCCAGCTGTCCATCACGCAGCTGGGTGGATCCAGACAGTATTGTTGGGATCCGTCCCAGTTGCGGCGCTCTCAGTATATAGTGAGCAATATCCCGCTATATACTGAGCTTTGGGTCACAGGAGCAGGTTAGTATATGTCCTCCCGTGACCCTAAAGAGAATGATGGGGAGAAACACTTACCCCAAAGTTCTCTTTTAAGTTAATGTTAGTGCACAAAAACACAATAAAATGTCAAATTTTTTTGTAAGATATAAAAGATGAGGTTGTGCTGAGTAAATAGATACCCAACATGCCAAAAAAACTGTGTGTGTCTGAGAAACGGAGAACAAATACGGTACCCCAAATTGTCAATAGGCGGCACTTGAAAAGCCTGCAGTTTAGAACTGACCGTGAATATGGGCCCTAGAACTATTGCTCTCATCCGACGGGGGAATTTACATTTTTTTGGGGGGGGGGTTATAACATTTTTTTAAGGTAACTTTCTTTTTTAAATGTTTTTCATTACCTCCATTGCAATCACATAGTGGAGCTCATGAGCCCCCTATACGATAGCACATTGGTGGGGCCTGCTGCCAGCAGTGTAAGGCATGTGGTTAATACATACAGTGGATATTCTATGTATTCCTAAGGAGATTCATTGACACCAACGCCGGCCCCATTCCATTCTCCGAATGAATGTATGGAGAGTGCACTCTAGAGACATGTCATGAATGGGGACACAGCAATAAAAAACCTGACTGTTCTAATCCTTCTACCCGGAAAATTATCTAAAAAATCTGCTTGGGTTCCATTTAAAGTTGAAGTGTAAAGTAATATTAAAGACAAAATGTGTTTAAGTTATTGATGTTTACAAGTTTTAGTTTCCTGTAGAATCAGCTGCTCCCCTGAGGACTGGTCCTGTGTATGTGTATGGCCGGCAAGGAGGGGTTAGGAGGATTCTAGTGTGCTTCGAATTGTGCTTTGGGTTTACCCTGTCTAGTAGTCTTTTACATCAGGATATGGATTGCAATAGTCAGGATCACATAAAACGAAGGTCACTTTTTGGCTCAGTGTTACAATACAGCAGGTTTTCCATTGTAGCAAGTCAGACAGAAAACAGCAGCTGTGACCTGTTGATTTGGCCGTCCAGTGGGGAGTCAGGAGTGGGAGACAATTGTTATCTGCTTGCTCAGCTCATGACATCAAGCAGAGGAGCAGGAAAGAGGAAGGAACTTCCATATGTGACAAGCTACAACCTGGGGAATCTTTCCGGTTTCAATTATAACACCAATAACAAGAAGGGGGAGAATGTCTATGCTGCTAGCAGTTAGTGCTCAGGGGACCAACTGATTCTGCAGGAAACTAAAACTTTTAAACATCAAGGAGCAGCATCCATTGTAAGTGATTTCCTTAGTATATGAAACAGCTTAACCAGTTGACATCCGCGGTGTTAAACCCCCTTCCCATCCAGGCCATTTTTCAGTATTCAGCGCTGCGGTACTTTGACTGACATTTATTCCGTCATGCAGCGCTGTACTGAAATTAATTTTATACCCTTTTTTTGGGGACAGATAGAGCTTTCTTTTGGTGGTATTTATTCACCACTGGGGGTTTTATTTTTTTACTATATTAAGGAAAAATTACCGCATTTCTTTTAAAAAAAACAGTTTCCCCTATATTAAATGATAAAACATTTATTATTACCCAATTTTTTGGTAAAATATAAAAGATGGGGTCACGTCGGGTAAAAAGACACTAAACATGTCAAGCCTTAAAATTGCGTGCGCGCGCGAAACCTCAAAAAACGATAATACCCAAAATTGGCCATAGGCGACGCTTTAAAAGCTGTTACCGCTCATCAGTTTAGTGTTATCAGTGATTGATGGCCCTAAAATGATTGCTCTCACTGCGACGTTCGCGGCGATATGTAACATGTGTAGCGCAATTGTAATTTTTGCGCGCTGGGGCACCGGACGCGTATTTACGTTTATAGGCGCGTAAACGTGGGGGTGGGGGAGTTAAACATTTTGGGGGGGTTTTTTCCCCTTTTTTTATATGTGACTTTTATTTTATTTTACTTTTTTATGTGTTACTTTTATTTTTTTTTATTTATATTTATTTTTTTGCACTTATTGTTATTGCTATTATATAGGGGGATAACAATCCCCCTATATAATAGCAAAGGCACACTGACAGGTCCTCTTTATGGAGACATTAGGGGTCTCTAGGACCCCTAATGTCACCTGTGGACCCCAAAAGAAGCTGATGAAGCAGAGATCTGCTTCATCAGGATGACTGACAGGTGAATGCGGAAGTGATGTAATACACATCACTTCTGCATTCACAGCCCGGACGGAGATCAGCAAGGAGCTGAACTCCCGTCCTCCTCCTCCTGACGCCCTCCGAGCTGGTCCCGGGATTCAAGATGGGGCAGCGGATCCCGGATTCAAGGTGAGGGGTCAGGGGGGGTAAAAAAAAAAACGGCGGCGGCCGCACGGGGGGGGGGTGGCGGACGCGAACGAGCACATATAGACGATCGGCGATCTGGAGACGGCAACCCGCCAATGCTGCAGTGCCGTCCGTCCGTTTTTTTACAACGGGCAGACGGCAAGAGGTTAAAAACCTTCTGATTTTAATATCACTTTAATAAATACATCTCTCTGTGAGCTCCAAGCTCACTCCCGTGATGGACTATAATCTCACATTTAGTCTCCTAATTTGTAGTGAGATTGTAGTCCATCACGGGAGTGAGCTTGGAGCGGTGACTACTTTACAACACACACAGGGACCATGGGGAACAAAAGTAGCCATCCTCCAAGAGGGAAGCACAGTGTCAGCACCAATTCAGAAATTATTTGAGGATCTACAGCCAAGCTACATTAATGTTAATAGTACTTGAATATATTTTTAAAACGTAACTCCTGCATTCAGCGTCACTTTAAGGTTGGCAGTGAACCTGCAAAGTTTCAGTCAAAGGTTCGCGATACACAAACCCATATTAGTGGTGAACCCTGACTTCATCCCTACCTCTGACCCTACACAAGTGTAAAAACGTAACTTCCCAGACATAGGTCATTCACATGTAATGTACAAAATACCTATACGATTGCAAGGGGGAGGTGTTTTACTGTACACAGTTGACTTCCTGTCCAGCAATTCCTGAGGGGGACACAGAAGTCTCTTCCCTGCATGAAAAATGTGACCTCAGCTACATCAGACCCCGTGGATAATACCAGTAAAGGAAACAAGTGGAATGATTCTTTTGTGAAGTCTGTTCCTCTTGTTTCTGGAAGAACACACCTAGAGCCAGCAGAGGACCATCTCACAGATGAACACAGTTAATATCTCCTGTGTCATACACAGATTCAACCTGCTGGGCCTGGCATCAGCCATTTCCTGCACGTCCACCCTCCTCGCTCCCCCCGCAGCTCATTGACTGCCATGCTGCTTGCTTTCCTGTCTTTGTTTAGCTCTGGCATCTCGTCTGCTTCTGAGGGCGTTTACTAGTCTTTTTTTTTTTTTCTTTCTTAAAGGACAAAAATATTACTACATTGTTTTCTTTTGTTTCTTCATTTTAATTACGTACAATGTTCTGGCTTATGACCTATTAATAGGTGGCTGCTGACCAATTTAGAGTGTGGGGACAATTTATATCCCAAGCGAGTGCTGCCTTCATTGCGCCTGAAGAAATTCCCACACTTCTATGGTGTCACCGATGGCACCATGTTCCCTGTATGGGGACATTAACCCCTTCATGACTGAGGCCTTTTTTTAATTTTTTGTACCCATGTTATATTCCACATTTTAGGCCTGAAAATTACTTAAAACCCCCCAACATTATATATTTTCTGAATGCCAAGACCCTATAGAATAAAATAGTGGTAGTTGCAAATTTTTATGTTGCGCAATATTAGAGCAACTCCTTATTAAACCCCAATATTTAGTGAAACATTTAATTAAATGCCCCAAAACACAACAAAATACCCATTTTTTTAATGAAATATAAAAGATGAGGTTACAACGAGTAAAACGATACCCAACATGCCCAGGTTACAAATTGCGTGCATCCGTAAAACGGCGAAAAACCCCAGTACCCCAAAAAGTCCATAGAAGACGCTTTAAAAGCCCCCACAGGTCATCAATTTAGAGATACCCCAAAATACTGGCCCTAGAATTAGGGCTGCAACCAACTAATCGATTATGAGAATAGTTATCAACTAGTCCCTTTATCGATTAGTTGGTCTCTCCTCCATGCTGGGAGGAGGACACACCAAGCAGTGGGTGGGTGCAATAGCCAGCCTTCTATTGGCTATTGCAATTTGAAATGGCCAATACAGGCTGGCTATTGGACCCGCCCACTACCTGTTGTATTTACATTCAGCTGCCGTCTGCGGAATCTTGCCACTGACATTGCTCATTCCCTTGCCGAAGCTATTCAAGCGCCATGTGCATACAATAAAAAAAATTGTTTTTTTTAATTATAAAAAGGTGGTAAAAAGGTCATTTTCAGTGACAGCCTGACTCCTGACTCCTGTGTACACACGGTCCACGTGATCGGCCCTCAGCCTGCTATTGCGCATGCACAGGATTTCTGAATGAGAGCGCTGGGCAGTCTGCGCAGTAGCAGGCTGAGGGCCGATCACGTGGGCTCTGTACACACAAGAGACATGGGCAGATCCCGGAGAGCTTGGAGAGCTGACCAAGGGACTGGAATGGTAATGAATGCTGCTAAGGATCTATGTGAGGGGAATGAGGTGCATGCAGGGTGGGGGCGTGTCACCATATTGTCAGATGTTTGGCCGGCTTCGATGCCGATTGGCTGGGAAGCCAGATTCCCGGCTAATCAGCATTGAGGCGGCCAAACAGAATGAAGTCGGCTTCCTGGGCAATCAAGAAGCCGAGCGGTGGGTAATGATACGCCGCCTGGCTTCCTGATTGCCCGGGAAGCCGGCTCTATGCTACCGGAAGTATCGGTACTCGGTATCGGCGAGTACCGGAATATAAATATTGGTACTGGTACGCGATACTGAAAAACCGGTATCGAAGTATCCCTAATAAGTAGTGCAGCCATCCACCTCTTATCCCGGCCTTGAAGCTTCCTGCAATGGGCACAGCCATAGGGCTGAATGAATCCACAAGTATTGGATGTATTTTAGTCTCATGTGAAAATATGCAAAAAATACAATTTCAATAAAATGAATGTAATTTAATGAGGAATTTAATTAAAAAAGCGTAGCATATATCTTTTGACTGATGAAACATCATTGATTTCTGTGCTGTGACAGCCAACGGTAAATCCTGCCTTTAGTGTGATCTGACCCTGAAATATTACAATGCAGGTCACATGGAAACAGCTGTAAATATATTTTATTTTCCAATACTATTAATACAGCCGGCCGCACCCCATTCCCCGGGTAATGCTATCCACAACTATATTTAACTCTGGAACATTATGTCTGACCGCTCCTTCCATCCAATACTTTTACCTTTCTCTCTGCAGAAGACTCATGACAGATTTTTTATTAATCGGGGATTGGCAAACAGATGTTATTTTGGATGTCTTAAAGCTGAACTCCACATATAACAGACACACATTAATACAACTCTGTGTTCATTCATATGTCATTAAATGTATGCTTTTTAGTGTCAGTACCTGCATTTTCCTTGGTATCAGCCTCTTGCAATTCCCTATACAGCAGCTCTCATACTGGGAGAGCGAGGGACAAGACTGGGAGCTGCGTGCTGCATGCAAATGTGTCGACAAGGAACATGATAGGAGGAGAGAGCAGACTCAGCAGAGGGATGACCTCATTTGTGTCCTGCTGCTCTTTTACTATCCAGTTAACAGGTTGGACAAGTAGGGAGGACACTACTGTATTCCTTACTGTAAATGGTGTCATGCACCTAGCTGTACTACATGAGAGGGCTCTGTAATCTCAGGAGTAGCTGGACAAAAATACCGATCTGCTGGCAGGTAAATCAGCTCCCATATACTGTATGTATTTAATATGTATATTTAGCTGTTTGCCTGGAGTGCAGCTCTAAGCATTCTTAAAGCAAAGCATACACGATTACTCACAAAAGGGTGAAGAGTTTGGAGAAGGCAAGAGAAGTGAACAATCTAGGACAAAATAGCTGAACTGGAAAGTGAAATGAATGGGAGAATTTTTCCAAATCAGCTATGTTGGCCTAGATTGTTCTCTTCTCCGGCCTTCTCCAAACCCTTCACCCTTCTGTGAATAGCCCTGATAGTGTTTTGTTTCTTTTATTGCAGTATGCAAAGAACTCCAAAATATATTTACAGTATTTTATTCTATGTATTATTTCGTATTTTTTAGGTATAATACTGGATATACAGTATATATATTTTTAACAATATTTATTTATTAAAGTTTTAATAACCGAATAACGATATTTCACATTTACCACTTGCAGGTGGTGTACTCGAAGCGGCTATTTTTCTGCTGAGCCGTTTTACTGCTATATAGTGAATATCCTTAAATGTAATCTCTTGATGTTCATCCCTATTCACAACTCACACAGTTGAATGGGTCAGAGGAGGGACGCACCTTCCTCTCTCTCTGAAAATTAGGTTGTACATGCAGTGAATTTCGCACAGTAGGTTCCGCTGTTGGCACCTGCTCCTTTGATCAGCTGATCAAAGGAGCAGGTTGGAAATTCCCTGGCTGAATGGAGCTAGCAACCAATTAGCTGCCGGCGGACGCTGTCAGATTAAAATAGAAACAGAAGGGGATTCCTCCATCAACGCTTGTAAACGTTGATGGAGGAATGTGTTCTATTTTTTTTTGTTCAGCCCGCAGGCTTACCGAAGAAAATGGAACTGTGTGTACCAAACTTAACTCATTCAGAACCCCATGGATTTTCAGTTAGAGATTGACAGTCAAAAAGCGAGCAGGCAATGCTCATATTAGAAAGTCAAGCATATTCCATCCACAGAATGTGACAGAAGCATTAACTGTTTGTGAAATAAAAACTATATAAGTAGTAAAAATATATATAGAAGATTGGTTTGTAAACATGAAAACATTGCAAATATACAAATACACAATTGACCAACTATCATTGCAGTGCCCCGATAAGGAGGAAAGATGTGGTTCTGTTTTATGGAACTTACCAGAGAAGTATCCTCGCCTCTGAGCATAGCACACACCACAGCCACATAAAATGATGAGAACTCCCACAATCACTGCTGCTGATATGATCCCAGCCCAGTTCAAGTCCTCTGCAAAACAGGTAAATGGTATAATGTCTAAGTTCATGGCAAACAGACATTAGTG